AAAAAAAAAAAAAAAAAAAAAAAAAAAAAAAAACCAACAAAAAAAAAAATTTCAAAACTAAGATTTGAACCTAGGATTTTTGGAGGCTCCAAGCCATTGCTTCTAAAAGTTTTCTCTGTGTGGCTTGACAAAAGATGAATAAACACTGCAACATTTTAAAAAGTCTCAGTTTTTAAAAACTGTTTTCTCAATTATGCAGAAGCAGTGTTTTGGAACGTAACATTTGGCATAATTCTCATCTTCCCTCATGTACGGCTCTATTTTAAGAGACCAAGACCTGTTGTTTATTGGGAGAAAAGCTGGTACAGAATCTTGAAGGACTCTTCTTGAAAGTAGTTGGATCTGTAACTTGTGGAGAAAAGAGGGAAGGAATTTTTGGAAATGAGAATGAAGTGTGCGTGTATGGTGAGGGAAAGGCCGCTATGTAAATTACAGCAAGAGAGTACAGGTGTGTTACTTCAAGTGAAACTTTTACAGTTTGGGTAGAAAAAGGTGTTTGTCAAGACCTGTAAGGGTTAATTAGATATGATATGTGGGTATATAAGCCAAAGAGTTTTAGCATTTACAAAATATAGGTCTATAAGAGAAAGAAATAAGCCATTTATAGACTGAAATTCTTGTTTTGGACATACATCCCAGCATTGTATATCCTAGAAAGAAACAAACACAAAAAATGGTGTGTGTGTGTGTGTGTGTGTGTGTGTGTGTGTGTAAATAAGAGGACAAAAACATGATACAGACATTAAGCAGAATCTGTTGTGCTACACACTCTCCTGCTTCTTCCACAGGCTCCGGATGCTCCCGAGTGAGCATTTGAGGCCCCTGCGCTTGCACTGGCAGAAGTCTTACCAGGAATAATTTTATTCTGCTCTTCACTTTATTGTACTCTCTAATTAGACCATGGCTCCTAGAATTCTCTCATAAACTCCCATTTCTGAAGCTCTCTTGCTAAACTTGACTCGCGCTCCCTCTACTGGCAGACACGATTCTTTTTTTTTTTTTTTTTTTTTTTCGGTATCAGGAATCGAACTCACGACCTTGAGCTTGCCAGGCAGGCGCTGTGCCGCTGAGCTAAATCCCCAGCCCCCTGAAGATTACTCTTAATAGATCCTCAACTTGCAAAAACCCTCTATAACTGATCACTGCTTCCTTTTGAAGAAGTGAATAAAAGATGTCTCACGAAACTTCTTGTACATGGGTTTGTATCATAATTGTTCAGAATAACAGTGCCCCAAACAGCAGGCCAAGTTAAAATACGCACCCAGTAGAACTATAATTTTTAATTGTATTGTGTAGTTCTTTATCTTGACTGTAAATAACCTCCCTTCCTACACTGATATTTGCTCTTAAAAGTTTGTGCGGTCCAAACTTTAAAATAGATTAAAAGGTGAAATCTATCCAGACCTCTTTCAAAGATCAACGCCGCTGCCAGGTCTTGTCTTCAGACAGTGCTCAGCAGACTCCGCGTGACTGAGGCATTTTCAGTGATGTGGGGATGGGTGAGATTTTTAGTTCTAGCTTATATCCTCTTTCCTCTCCTAAACGTTTGAGCAAATAGTGACGAGTGGGTTTGCAGACAGCGATTCTCTCTGCCCGCAACTATGAGAAGCTGAATGTTCTTCTCACAGAAGTCGCTCCCTGAAAAACCCACACGGGGTCCCTGCTCAGAGGAAGCAACAGGTAAAGGCCACACTCACTGAGCACAGCCAGCGACCTTGGTCACTATTTCCTTATAATTGCGTGTATCCTTGTTCTGTTTTAGTCCACATTTTCTGCAGTTTATTTTTATTTTTATTTTTTTTTTGGTTTTTCTCCGGTACCAGGAACTGAACTCACGACCTTGCGCTTGCCAGGCAGGCGCTTTGCCACTGAGCTAAATCCCCAGCCCCAATTTTTTTTTTTTTTTTTTTTTTTGTTTTTCTCCGGTACCAGGAACCAAACTTACGACCTTGCGCTTGCCAGGCAGGCGCTTTGTCGCTGAGCTAAATCCCCAGCCCAAAGATGGTTTTTTTTTTTTTTTTTGGTTTTGGTTTTTTTTTTCCGGTACCAGGAACCGAACTCACGACCTTGCGCTTGCCAGGCAGGCGCTTTGCCGCTGAGCTAAGTCCCCAGCCCCTTCTGCAGTTTAAATGCTAAGTAAAATGTTTCCTTTTGAAGAAGTAAACATAAGATGTGTTTCATGCCATTGTCCACATCCTTTTGTCTTTTGCGAAGTACTGTGAGTTCTTATTTGCGTTTTGTTTTTCCGTGTAATGAAACCTGTTAAGTAAATAAAAATCACATAAAACTTATTTTTGCCCCAGAATACAATGATCAAAAGACCATGTACCATAAAAGAATGTCAATATTAGGTACTGCAAACATGTACTAGTAAAAAATAAATGCATAAAAGTGAATAGAGTAGTAAAACAATTAAAAATTATGCTTTTCTTCTTTTTATTTCTTTATTTATTTTTGAGACAGGGTCTCACTATGTAGTTCAGGCTGGCCTGGAACTCACTGTGTAGCCCAGGCTGGTCTTGAACTCACAATGATCCTCCTGCCTCAGCCTCCCAGGTGTTGAGGGTACAGGTGTGTGCTACCATGCCTGTTTTTTTTTTATTCTTTCCTCTGAAATTGATGGAGTCTTTTACCACAGCAAAAATGAGAAGCAAATGATTAAACCCCAAGTGGTATTTGCCTGTAAAGATTTTCTCTACACAGCCTCAAAAGTAAAATAAAATGGTGAACAATTTAACTTCTGTGCAGCATTTCTGCTTAGCAAGATAAAGCTGCTTATGACCAATACTTAAAAAACCCCGCCCACAGAAAAGTATTTTCAGGTGGAAGGAATTCCACCAGAACTGACATATAATCTTTGTCTGAGATCCAAAAACATCATACAATGCACTTGCCTTTTTTTTCACAGAAATTGATGATTATCCAAAAAAATTTAGAATTACCAAGAAAAACTGATGGTGGGAAAAGAGCAGATACTTAACTCACTTCCTTCACTTGGGCCACTGGGAGTTTGAGATTTGCTGTATTTGTTTGTTTTGGTTGTTGTGGTACCTGGGGATTAAACTGAAAGCCTTGACACTAAGTTATAACTCCTTTTTTATTTTGAGATACTGTGTTTGTCTTTAAGCTGTCTTTTTTCCCATTTCTCACATTGCCTTAATTTTCTATCCTTGTGTTTTGGGTGTCTGGTAAGAATGAATGAGTTTAATTGAAAATTAAATGAAATGATTCTTCCTTGGGAGTCATCAGTTATCGATGCCCGGTTTCTTTGTAGAACTCAGGGAGGAAATTACAGCTGGGCACATGGGCCAAACAACTGGGTGGAAGGTGTGAAAGTCACGGAGACCCAGGGGACAGGCACGGAACACAGGACGTAGGATGACTCAGTGGCTCCCATGCATGGAACTGATCAGGAGGGGCTACATATTTTCAGTTCTTCATCTACTTCCGGTAGGAAGACAAAGGAGTCTTTCAAGGGAGTAGTTTAAATCTGGCACCATGCCAAGTGAGTTTTTGACGGAACAACCTCTTAATTCTTTACTTGCATGGAGCAGAAACCAGTGCGGGGCTTCCACACACAAAAGACCCCTCTCTTTGGTCCTCAGCCTGCTGAGAGTCTGTCCACCAACCTCCTCTGACCCTTCAGAGCTTCTTTTCCATCTTCAGTAAATGTACATCCCTGTTACCTTTGCTGTGTACAGTAGCTTGTCTATTCTTTGTTCGGGACACTGAGAACCTGGAAAGAATTTCCTCAGCATCCACGATGCAGTAACAGCAGTACTCTTGCAGCTTCCTGAAAGACAGGCTCTCTGGTCTGTGCACAGCTGTCGATGACTGGCCTTTCGGACAGCTTCAGTGCTGTGTGCGAGAGACGTAAAGAACTGACTAGAAGGAGTACAAATAGTGGGATGCAGCAAAGCCTAAGTCCACGTTTTTCTCCTCAGCAAGTGTAACATGCATCTCTTCTTTTTCTTTCCAGCATCCGTGTTTTGGAGGAATTATTCTTCCTCTATTCTATGTTGATCATGGAACTCTTCTCACAACCAGTGGGAGGCATCTGGGCCAAGCTGAGGCAATCAGCGTCTTCTTTCCGAAGTTCTCATCCTGAGGGAGTATACTGAGAATGTGCATGGCATGGACCATCTGCTTGGAGTCACAGCAGTCATCTCTGAATTACTGCTTTTCATAGGTGCTGAGAGTAACTAACCATGCTCTCTGGCTTTCCTGTGGTCGTGGTGTTTGGTGCTTCCTTCCTAATTATAACCATCTCAGAATATTTCTGATGAATCCTTCTTGCTTGTTTAATATAGCAGGATCAATCCCATTGTTTGCCATTAAAAACAAACAAAACAGTGGACATTTCAGTGGTAGCAGTAGTTTCTGGTGGAAATTCAATTGTATGAGAGAAAACAATTTATCCTGTCCCATGGCTCTAAATGCAGTTGATCCGAGGGCGGGGAGCTGGTATCAGATATCCTCCGGCCTCGGGTGACTCTTGTAGCTCCAGAGCTCAGCCTGTGTGATCAGAGAGCCAAGTAAGGCAGCAGGGGGTAGCACGGTGCTTCCCAAAAGTATTCTGAGAAACATTAATTTCTTGAGAATCTCTTGGAAATGTTTATCTAAAGAGGATGGAGAAGCAAATCATCTTGCATGTGTTCCTTGGAGATTTACACTGCTCATAAATGCAGTAAAGGCTCTGATAAGTTCTGTGGGAAGAGCACCATTTAGCTTTAACCCAACATTTTCTAAGCCTTCTTGACCATGGAATTCTTTTCCTACAGATCACGTGTTACTATCTCTTGGGGGAAATATAAGTGTAGAGGAATTAGAGAATCCAAGTTTGTGACATTTAAATATACATTTGGTAGAGTGCTGAATGATAAATTTTATTGTGTTGTCTCTTTTTGCAAAAAAGAATTTCACTTTTAATCATATGATTTCAAAAAATGTGGGATATTTTACTGGGACCTCATGTGGGTCACTGAAATGGGTATTTAACAAAATGGCTTTGATGATTTGAGATAATCACTAACTCTTCCACTCTTGATGGGTGGATGATAAATTCATGCCAAGATCACTAGCCAAGTAGAAATACATTTTGATTTTATTAATCAGAGTATATATTTTAATATGGGACTTTGAGAGAGTTTATCACTCAGTGAAAAAATTGATATGTAATCAGTTATCATGGCATTCTTCTCTTCAGAAGACCTGTGGTAATGTCTGTTGATGTTTTGATTGTCACAGTTGGGATGGGGGTAGTTCTATTTGCATCTAGTGAGCAGAGGGGATACCCAAAACATTCTACAGTAGAACAGCTTCACGCAATAAGGACTTGTTCAGCCCCAAATTCTGGTGAAGCTGAAAAACCCTGAGTAATGATCCTTGAGAGGAAATAGTCTCACACTAAAGCTAAATCAAGATGGAGAGGCCTTTAGTGTGTTCTATATTTCTAAACCATATTAAGTATTCCCCATGTAGATCACTGTGTTTGAGAGTTTAAGTCTAGATTTTATCATTAGCTGAAATTTGACCTGTGTATAACTTGGGGCCTCATTTTATTTATTCAAAGAAACCAGATTAGATGAGGTAATTGAAAAAGTTCTTGCCATACTACAATTCGTGAAGAATGATCCTGAGCCTTGAGCATTTTAAAAGTAAAATAAACAATCATTTGTTTTAGGCTTTGGGAGCAGGCAACCACACAGAGAAGATCTTCATCTAAAGACGGTGCAGGGGCTGGGGATATAGCTCAGTGGCATAAGCACCTGCCTGGCAAGCACAAGGTCTTGAGTTCGATCCCTGGTACCACAAAAAAGAAAAAAAGATGGTGCGGCCCTGTGTCTGGGCAGGTCTGCTGAGTCAAGAGGCAATCCTGAGCCAGGGATGAAGGGCTTATTGTGTTCTTAGAGTCTCTCCATTAACGACTGTTGTTCTGCTCGAGCCTTAAACAAAAGCCCAGACCTCAGCTCTCTCCTCAGACTGTCTCATCTTTTGGCCATCTCCTGCTCTCTCTCTACACGCAAGTACCACCTTTATGTTAACCACGTTTCTGTCTCAAATCCTCTTTCTCCTGAGTACGGATTTCAAATAATCTTAGGCACGGTGATAATACTATAATGATGATGATAATAAAAATATCTAACACTACTGACTTCTTGCCATGTTGCGAGCATTATGCTAAGCTCTTTATTTTATTAGCTTCTTTGACCGTCAGAAGCGTACAGAGGTTGAGTAGCTTTTTCAAAATCCAAAAGTTAGTCTATGGTAGATCTGGTATTCAAACTGCCAATGTTGCAAATTCCACTTGCCCCTGCTGTGGCAGCTTCCCTCTTGCAGTCTTCTTGCTAAAAGCATAGGTGACATAATTGGACCCGAGTTCTAAAATCCTTCTCTCTACCCCATATTAGAAAGTTTTTTGTTGCTGTGATGAAATACCTGAGAAAATCAACTTAAATGATGAGAATTTTATTTCGGTCAGTGGTTGTCGGGCTCCATTGTTTCTGAGAAAGAAGTGGGGTAGAACATCCAGGGGGAAGGGTGTGGTTTAGAAGAGCTGCTGTACCACTGTGGCTGGGAAACAGGGAGCATGAGGGTGAGGGGCGGGGATAAGGGGGTATGGCCTCCCCCTATTGACAGAATAAAGTTTGTACCTTGGTATCCTGTACCCTCCTGAGTGAGGCACAGATGTGGTGTCAGCTGTGGCACCCATGAGAATAGTTTTCATTATTCCTTTGATCATATCATGTACCTTTATGTCTTAAATTTCTTAAGAGTTGCATTAGTCAGGGTTTTCCAGAGGAACCAAGTAAATGGGACATATATAGGAGAGAGAATCTACAGTGGCTCACACAGCCAGAGGCTGGATGGTGTCACAACGTTGTCTTCAGGCCAGAGAGCTGGGGAGACCTGTGTAGCTGCTTAGTCCAGGAGGGTGTGAGCCTCAGAAGAAGAGAGAACTGATCCATTCCCATTTCAAGGTGGAAGGCTTGGAAGCCCCCATGAAAAGCTGTGGTACAAGTCCATGTCCAAAGGATGAAAAGTCTGGAATTTGTTGTCCGTGGATGACACAGCAGCTAGAAGATATAGGAGATGCACCTGCTCAGGAAGTGTTGAGCCGGCCAGCACGTGCTTTGTTCGTTTTTGCGGCATCCAGACTCCTAGCCTCTTGAATGGTGCTGGCCTTGTTCAGGGCAGATCTTCCTCGATCAGTTCGATGACCTACACAGCAATCAGATGAGATCGGGAGTGATCAGGGTGGTATGGCCCTGGACCCCCCACACCAATCTTCCCTGGAAACTCCTTCACAGACATACATAGGAGTGGGATTCACTGGTTTTCTTGACCTCCCTCAGTCCAGTCCAGTTGACAGCCTAAATTAACCATCGTAAAGGTCTACATTTTCTCCTAATTATAACACCACAGTGCAATATGCTCGGTTCAGCAACATTAACTTACCATTTCCTCTTATGGTCCAAAGCAGCACACTGGCTCTTTGTTTAGAAAGGTAAAAAGTCTTCTTGTAGTTCTCAGAAGGAACCTGCTTTCCTTCCTGTTTCTCGGTCAGGTAATGTCCATCCTCTGCCTTCCACCGTTTCTATGACTACCCAGCAGTTTCAAAACTCACATTTGAAGTATCTTTCATTCATTTCATTTTCTACATCTGGAAAAGTTGCAAGACCCCAAATCAACATATAAAAAGAAACTGAATTTCTATACACAACTTGTTATGGTTTGGATCAAGGAAGTCCCCTAGAGCCTCATGTATTCACAAGGAAAGGTGACTGAATCACTGGGACACTATAGCTCAGTGATGGGGAAACTTCTAGAGCTTCCAGTGCTGACAAACAGCCAGCTGCAGTGTGAGGGTCATAGCAGCCACCACTGCTGTATTAAGAGGTGGGTTCCAGCCAGGAGAGGGAGCACCCTGAGGACATGACCTGGACGGTGTTATGTCCCTCAGGGGTTATCTCCCTCACTGGCTCCTCCCTTCTCTGTCTGCTTTCTGACTGCCATGCTGTAAGCAGTTTCCCTCCACTCAAAGAAGAGACATCCCCCACTCCCCCCCCCCGACCCCCATACCGGGAATTGAACTCACAACCTTGCGCTTGTCAGGCAGGTGCTACTGAGCTAAATCCCCAGCCCAAGAAACAATGCTGTTTTTGCACTGGGGCCAGCCCACCATGGACCGAAGATGTAAGTAAAAGTGAACCTCTCCTTTTTAAAATTATGGATATCAAGTATTTTGTCACAGTGACAACAAAGTGACTAACACACAAACTTACCAAAAACGAGATTAAGAAAAGAGATCCCCAGTTATGAAAGAATCAAGAAACAAACAAAATACTTAGAAGTAAACTCAATCAAGAGGGTGAAAGACTTGTAAACTAAAAATGATAAAGCATTGATGAAAAAAATTAAAGAAGACACAAATAAATGGAATTATATCCTGTGTACATGGATTGGAAGAATTACTATTAAAATGTCCACACTATGCAAAGTAATCTACAGATTATTATGTTTCTAATAAAAATTCCAATGATAGTTCTTACTAAAATAGAAAAAAATTCCAAAATTTGTGTGTAACTGCAGAAAACTACAAATAGTCAAAGCAGTCTTGAGCAAAAAGAATAAATCTGGAGGTATCACATTACCAGATATCAAAATATACTTCAGAGGTATAGTAATCAAACCAGCATGATACTGGCATGAAACAGACATATAGACCGATGGACAGAACATAAAGTCTAGAGATTAATCCACACATCTGTGGCACACTGACTTTGAGTAAAATGCCAAGAATACATAAAGGGGAAAGATTGCCTCTTTAGTAATGATACTGGAATAAATGGATGTTGAAATGCAGAAGAATTAAATTGGACCTTCCACTCATAATATACCAAAATCAACTCAAAATGGACTAAAAATTTAAAAATAGGATCTTAAACTATAAAATTGCTAGAAGACATAAAGGAAAGGTTTCTTGACATTTGTCAGGGCAAAGATTTTTTTTTCATATGACCACAAAGGCACAGGCAACAAAAGCAAAAACTACAAACGGGATTGCATCAAGCTAAAAAGGTTCTGTATAATAAAGGAAAAAATCATCAGAATACAGAATGGGAGAAAATGTTTGGGAGCCATATAACTGACACAGGGTTAATATCTAAAATATTTACAGAATAAACACATCTCAATGGCAAGAAAACAAACAATTCAAAAACTGCGGACATAGACATTTTCAAAAGAAAACCTAAATGGCCAAAAGGTATAGAAAAAAGTAGTCAACATCACTAATCATTTGGGTTTATAATTTTTTTTTTTGCCTGTTCTGGGACTTGAACACAGGGTCTTTTACATGCTAGGCAAACATACCACAACTGAACGACATCCCCAGCCAGCCTTGTTATATAAATAAAAGCCACACTGAGATGTTATCTTACTCCTGTTAGAATGGCCATTGTTATACAGATGAAAGACAAGTGTTGGACAAGAAGAGGAGAAAAGGGAATCCTTGTACATTTTTGTTGGGAGTGTAAATTAGTACAGCTATTATGGGAAGCAGTATGATGTCCTCAAAAAATTAAAGATAGAAGTACCATATGGTTCAGCACTTCTGCTACTGAGTATATGTGTGGCATTGATCGAGCTGTCTCCCCAAGCTTCATGCACTCACAGCTGGGGCTTTGGGGAAGGGGCTGGATTATGGGTGTGTGATACCGGGTTACAGGTGTGATAACTGGATTAATCCACGGACTGATTTAGCATTGCTGTGGGGGGTGGGATTACTGAAGATGGAAGCCGCACCCTGGTGTGTGTGGCACCAACCAACAAGCTCATCGCCTGGAGAGAATATCAAGGGAGAGAAGAAAGGCAGCCTTGCTTCTTCCTGAGTCTTGACTGCCTGCCGTGGACTGCTTCTCTTCTCCTATGCCCTCCACCATGTCACCCTGCCTTGGAGCCAGCCAACTGTGGACTGAAACCTCTACAAACTGGGAGCCTAAACCCTTTCCCCTTTAACTTGTGGGTGTTGGGTATTTTGCACCAGGAACAAGGAAGTAACCAAGACAGTATTTATGAAAAGGGAACAAAATCAGTGTGTCAAAGGGATATCCATCCTCCTAGCCTCACTGCAGCATTATTCACTCAAGAATTGCAATCAGCCTTAGTGTCCATCCATAGATGGATGGAGAGAGAAAATGTGTTATATCTACAAGGGAATATTATTCAGCTATGAAAAGAAGGATATTATAGCAGCACAATTTGTAATAGCTAAATCTTGGAAGCAACCCAAATGTCTATCAGCTGAGGAATGGATAAAAAAGATGTGGTATTTCTATACAATGGAGTATTACTCAGCTATAAAGAAAGATAAATTAAAGGTTTTTATAGGTAAGTGGATGCAACTAGAGACCATACTCATTAGTGGAATAAATCAGATTCATATGTATGTATTCACTTCATATTTCCTCCCTACTATAGGAACCTGAAAGAGTAAATAAAATCTGAAAGGCACAATAGATATTATGAAAGAGAAAGGACACTGCTCATATAGGAAGGAGCATTCCCGTGAAGGAGGGGAGAGGAAAAAGAAAGAAGGAAGAATGAAAAATATGCATATATATATACACAGGATAGCTAGCATAATTGTACTACTAATATCTGTTGGTTTATTGAAAAGAACTGTAAATGTGTAATTGTTTAATCAACCTTGCATGCCAATATCTGGTTATATGTACAATCATTTTGAAGATAACATTAGGTAATATAACAACCATTGTTAATATCCTGTCACCATGTTTTGAAATTCTGTATCATTTTTATTGTTCTCTATGCTGTTTTGTATATGTATTTGTTTTTGTTACATTGTTTTTTTTAAAAAAATGAAAACCAAATTTATATGTATATATAAAGATAGCTGGAGTAGGTGTATTGCTGATGCCTGTAGTTTTTTTTTTTTTGTTTTTTTTGTTTTTTCCGGTACCAGGAATCGCTGCTTGCCATGCAGGCGCTATGCCTCTGTGCTAAATCCCCAGCCCCTGTCTGTAGTTTATTGAGAGGAACAGTCAATGCTTAAGATTTTCTTTTTTCTTGACCAATTTTACATGCTTTAATTTGGTAATTAGAATGAGTG